GAAATCGCACCCCTCCCCCACAGAGACCAGGACACGCAGGGCAGGTTTGGCCCACACCAGCAGTTTATTCTGAAGCCATCGGCCACAAAACCACCACGGACCCCGCAATAAATAGCCAGTCCTTGAACGATGCCCCAATAAATAACAGGAATCCGCCCCCCGCCCTGGATTCCACGAACCCACTCAATAAATAAACCCGTCTGGATAATAAATAAGTTATTAAATACGTAGAAAAACAGGAACCAAATACAGCTGGTGGGAATCGGGCCCTAGGACCGATGGCGCTGCGTCTCGGGGACCACGGTCTCCCTCAAGCGGCTCAGCGCTGGCGTCCATACGTCCCAGTCCAGAGGAAATCGGTCCCAGAGTCAGGGAGAAAACCCAGGGGTCCTGCCTCCCAGCTCCCCCCGTCCTAATCGCTACACCCCACTCCCCTCCCAGAGCCGGGCAGGGGACCCAGGAGTCCAGGGTCTCAGAAGATGTAACTGGGGCTCAGAACCCGGGAGAGGCGACCCATCATGCTGAGGGGGTCGGAGGACTCCACGTCCAGCGGCGGGTCGCCGTAGAAGTCGTATTCCAGCAGGACGGGCTCCACCGGCACCCGGCTGACCATGGGCAGGAAGTGGAAGAGACGGGGGGCCGGGCGCCCCCGGCCGGGGTGCCCCTCCGCCGGCCGCAGGCTGACAGGGACGTTGTGGGTCTCGGAGAAGTAAAGGTTGTAACCATCACGCTGCACCTTCTCGCGGAAATTACAGGCCTCCTCCGAGTATGAGCTCTGCGGGGGAAGGAGATTACGGGGGCGCAGGTGAGCAGCTGTGTTTGAGGCCCCCATGCTCTAACCACTAGACCCCACTCCCTTCCCATAGCCCAGGAGAGAACCCAGGAGTCCTGGCTCCCAGCCATGCTCTAACCACTAGACCCCACTCCCCTCCAAGAGCCCAGGAGAGAACCCAGGAGTCCTGGCTCCCAGCCCCCCTTGCTCTAACCACTGGACCCCACTCTCCTCCCAGAGCCTGGCAGAGAACCCAGGAGTCCTGGATCCCAGCCCACCCCCCCGCTCTAACCACAGGACCCCACTCTCCTCCCAGAGCCAGGATGGCAGGGAGAGGGAGCGATGCAGGGCTGGATGGGCCCTTTAGTTGGTTGTGTCCCCCTGTCCCGTCTAGCTAACCCCCCAGACCCCTCTCCTTGCCCCCCTGCTGCTGGGTTTCCACTCACCGCCCCATGCAGATGCCCACTGGGATCCATGCACAGGAACAGGAGCGTTTTCATTGCCTGAATCCGGATCACGCCAGGCTTCACCGCCTTAATCTCCATCAGACCTGCAGCACCGGAGGCAGAGCGAAGTCAGCAAGGGAACCCAGGCGTCCGGGCTCCCAGACCCGCTCCTCTGCTCTAACCACTAGACCCCGCTCCCCTCCCAGAGCCGGGGAGAGAACCCAGGCGTCCTGGCTCCCAGACCCGCTCCTCTGCTCTAACCACTAGACCCCGCTCCCCTCCCAGAGCCGGGGCGAGAACCCAGGAGTCCTAGCTCCCCGCTCCCCCTCCACTCCCCTTCCAGAGCCGGGGAGACAACCCAGGAGTCCTGGCTCCCAGCCCCCCCTGCTCTAACCACTAGACCCCACTCCCCTCCCAGAGCCGGGGAGAGAACTCAGGAGTCCTGTCTCCCGGCCCCCCCTGTTCTAACTACTAGACAC